CAAAAAATGTATATTTTTAAAGAGTTCAGGAAAAAAGTGAACACCAGGGTTTATTACCAAACGTCATAATTCCCTAGCAATGTTGTTTGAAGATTTCAGCTTGGTGCTACCACTGCATTACACAAAAGCAGCAAACACAAAGGCGTGTTCTTGGCATACCAAAAGGGCAGACTTCTCTCCCCAAGGTTCCAAGGAAATGAGAACTGCAATTCCTAAAGAGGAGAAGCCCCAAACACAACTCCTACAACAGAGAGACAAGTCCTAGCTGTGCAGCAGTTACACCTCCTCATTGTTCTCCAGCATTGCTACCAACAGCAAAAATACTACAATCCAACCACTGTCTGAAACAAGTCACCCCTCATGGCAGCCAAAGGCCTTTAAAGGCAAACAACAAAACAACCCAATAAAAAAGTTAATGACTGAGACGCAGAGGTGTTGAAACATCCCAAAGCGCGCTTGGGACGACTGCTCTCCACCTGCAGGACATTACTCAGACACCCAACAAAGGATTCCTTCATTCACTGTCACCTCCCAACCTCCACCTTTCTCCTGATCACCCAAGCTGGCTTCTGGATGTTCTGCCCACACCGAGAAGGGAGAGAGAAATAGCACAAAATAAAATGAATACTGATGAAGAGGAGGAAACGTCATGTTACACAGAGAATCTTCCCATATGCTTAAAGTAAACAGGGCAAATCTTAATTTAAGGAGCTATCCAATATGACTACCCTTGTTCATTAGAAGTGGACCCTGAGCTCTCTGAATGCCAATTATTCTACTGGGCTAGCACAATTTTCAGAACTTTCTTAAACATGTTAAACGTTCTCCATTTAAACCCATCAGCAAAGGAAGCCACTGCATTCTGCACACCACCAGATGCCCTTGCTCTTCCAGAAGCAGGACGAGTTTCAGAAGAAAGCCGTGGCCATAACTCATAAGCCTGACTCATCCTTCTGCCAGCTAAACGAACAGCATGGATAAGCCCTGTGTTCCTGTCCAGAGTAGGAAACGCATCACTCAAAGATGAGGAAATAGGAAACAGTCTGTCCGACTCTGAATAAAACATGGTATGCTTTAGCCAGCTGCACCCAGCCCGACACCTCCCACTTCTTGAGAGCCCAGAGCAGCCACAGCCAGCTACAAGCTCCTCCAACCGATTTGGCAAACATCCTAGAGCACTGGATTCATCCCAGATAGAGCAAACCACTCCGGCAGCAGCGTGGAATGATCTCACCCGATCACCAGACATTCCTCCCATCTTCATTTGATACTGCCAGCCTTGACATACAGCTGACTTACCTGACAGAGGAGGCAGGAATCCAGGGTGATGCGCTTAATGCTGAGAGGTTTCACACACAGCAGTGTGAATGCACCCAAGTGCTGCTGGCAGCACTTTATCACTCCACTCTCTACTTGCACTATTTTACAAAGATTAAGCTTTTCTGGCCGATTTACCTAAATGACTGCATCTTTGTGATGAAGCAGACCAGACAAAATGGGCTCAAGTGACAAAAATAGCATAGCTGCATATCTACCCATCACACTACGCAGCACACGCTCACATCTCTACGTCCCTTAACACAGACCTGAGAAAAAGGAGGCAGTAAGCTGCTGCCATCAGAACAGTTACCAAACTAATTAGTTTAGCAGTATTAGTAAACTAATACTAAACCAGTTCCTAGCAGCCCTCTTTGCTGAGGTCGCATCAGGGCCACAAAGGGCACTGCATCAGATGAGCCATTTGCTTTGTGCCCTCCTGCTTCACAACTTTCTTCTGGCTGCTCTCATCACATCACACGGTGGATGAGAACAGGTACTTTGAAAGGGGAAAACCAACTGTCCCACAGAGATGAAAGCCAAAAGACGACAACTGCTGCCCCAGAAAGATTACCTTTGCCTTCACTCCACCTGCTGAGTACCCTGAGCTGCCTCAGAGGACAGATTGACAGCACTGTTCCAACATCTCTAATGCAACTGTACATAACTTTCAAAGGTTGTAAGTCAAACACACCCAGCAGAGTGGAAGGACTAGAGATAAGGTGACCAAATATTCAAGATAATAAAGTTATCAAAGGTAAATCAAAACCAGTTTCCATTGTTACTTCACACGAGGAGTGATTTTAGGCGCTGGCTCTCAAACTTTGTGCACAGCCATCTTAGCCAAGGACAGCTGAGACTTGTTAAGAACTGTGCATGCTGCAGGCTAGACATCTGAATTTTCTTTCCTAAAAACAGAACGTCATAGAACAGGAAGAACACTGTAATTAAATTCATGTATTAAAACAAATATAGCTAAATGCTTTCACATGTCTCAGCTGCACATGTTGCTTGTGGCTCCTAGCATGCTGCCATCAACATTCTTATATCTGAGCGAATGCACTGCAACACAATGGATGTGTAATCCCTCCTATTCCTTTTAATACCAGTTCTGGCATTTGTTATAACAAGCAGATATCTTTGCAGTAATCGTGAAATTGAGACCATTACCAGAGGAAGTTTATTCATTTCCAGCAAAATTCTGTTTCTGCCCTCAGCACAGCTTCCAATGAATTCATTGTAAAATAACGCCAGAATAGCAGATGTGTTCACAGAATATATTCACAAGGGCTCTTTTTTTCCTCAAGACAATGTACTATGTTATACAACAGAAAATACGATTGATAGCATCAGAATTCACACAATCTCCAGTAAAAGAAACACTCGATGCGTTTTTACCCGTGTACAACAACAAACCCTTTCAAATCCAGAGACCGTTCTACATACACGTTTGGCAATGCTTTGCTTCACTCGAAAACTGTCAACAATTTGCACACTTGTGGATGTACTGGATCTTTCTGAATGTCCACTTAATGACAAAATGTTAATCAGGAGCCTTCCTGCTACCCAAAATGCTAAGAAAGCAGCGCCCTCCCTTTATAAGGGACACGGCAAATTAGTGTTACCAAACATAAGGCAGTTCTATCAAAAGGTAAGGTTTTGGTGTCACAAATGACAGACCTGCATGTGTCAGGAGTTGGGCTGGTGACCCTCGGGGGTCCCTTCCAGCTCGGGATGTTCTACACTCCTAGGAAATTCACAACTAAGCAAAATAGCTGCATTTGCATGATGTGAATTATCAGCAGCGGTTGTTATGAATTCCTGCTTGGCCTAGCCGTGACACGAGGATGTTTTGTTCACGGGGCTCCTGTTTTCATTTGGAGAACATAAGAAAACCGAGCATCTCCACGTACAGCACAGACGTCAACCGCACCGCTCAGGCTGAAATTATTCGGGAGAAATTAAGCCAAAGAACTCTGTGACAGCAGCAGCAGCAGCACCGCCCCGCGATGTGCGGGCCGCACCTCGGCCAGCCCGCGGCTCCGGGTCCCGCTGCTGCGGAAAGCCCCGCGGCCCCGCGCCCACGGCGGCGCTGCTCGCGCACTGCAGTCGGTCCCGGCAGCCGAAGGAGACGTTAACGGCCGGAGCGCCGGCTGACGGAGCGCCGCCGGCGGGCGGAGCGAAGCGGAGCGCGAGGAACGTGCGGCGCCCGGAGCCGCGCGGCCTGCAGGACGGAGCCCGTCGTGCCGCCGCCGCCCCGCCCCGCCGCGTCCCTCCGCTGCCCCGGCCGCGGGCAAGCGCCGGGCCCGCGTCCCAGCACCGACCCGGCCCCAGACGCGCCTCCCGCGGCGGGCCGGGCCCGCTCCCCGCTCCCCCTTCCCCGAGCCGCGCCCGGCCGCCGGGCCCGGAACCCCTCCGCTCGCCTCAGCCTCAGCCGGGCAGGCCGGGCCGGTTACCTGCTGGCTGAGTGGGATGAGCGCCGCCATCTTCCTGCCGCCGATTCGGGCAGCGGCCGAGGCGGGGGGGGGGGGGGGGGCGGGGCGAGCGGCGGCGATAGGCGGAGCGGGGCGGGCCGCGGGAGGGCGGAGGAAACGGCCGAGGGGAGCCGCCTCGGAGCCCGAGCGAAGCGGGCGGGCGTTGTCTGGGCCCTGGCCCCGGCCGGAGGAGAGCAGCCACGGGAGCCGTCGCAGCTTCACGCCGTGGGGTGACGGGCAAAGCGGGGCCGGGAGCGAAGCGCCAGGAAGCGAGGCGAGGCTCTGACGGAGCGCTGAGCTGGAGGAGCCGCGTCCGAGTTCACTTTCGATTGTGTTGCACAAAACCTCGTCGAAACAAAACTTCCACCCCATTAAGCTGCCTCGGGGCTCCGATCAAACGTTCAGTGTGAAGAACAACGCTAACAGCTGGTGCCTGTGCTCACATAGAGCAGGAAGCAGCCTGAATGAATGCAAGGTCACATAAAAACTACAGTAAGAGGGATTTGTTTAGCAAAAAGGTCAAGGATGACACCCTGTTGTTTTCCAGTAGCTGTCAAAGTTCTGCACCCCAAAGGGCCATTTAAGTTGTCTTAAAGGACAGAGGATGGGGATCAGTGCAGGAATTTGACCTCAGTTTGGTCACAGTGCCGCAGCTGAGACAAGGCCTGCACCACTCCTTCCATTCCCTCCTTACTGCAGAGAGATTTGGAGAGGTAATGAAAAGTGATGGGCTCAAAGTCTGGCTTCAGATTGAACCAAATTTATAGCATTACAAACAAGAGCGGAAAGGAAAAAGCTACGCATAGAAGATGTAATTACTAGAGAGACTTGGCAAAGCTTATCTCTTTAGTTTGAAGTAGGTTGTGAGAATGCTTCACGTATCTGACATGCTGAAGCCTTTAACGAAACAAAGCTTTTTGGTTTTTGGGATTTTTTTTTGATTTTGGTATCAGCATGAATTTACATTTCATATTAAATCATCAAAAAGTCTCAGAACATCAAAACAAAATGGGTATCTTAGCACAGCGAAAATATATTTAATAAAAGTTACCCTGTTTAGTAGCTAATTTAATAACTGTATTTTTCTAAAAAGTAACTGAAAGAGTTCACAAATTTAAGATTACCACTAAAAACATCCTTAGAGCTTCAATGCAGACTTCAACAAAACATCAAAGTCCTTACAGAGCGATGTGAGCATCTTTCAAACGATTACAACTCCTCTTTCTCGACAGGACTCTTCCTTATTCTATCTTTCTGAGATTCACTTTTTCCCTCTCGTTTTTTCTTAAACCATTGCTCAAAGTTTTCTTCTTCCGTGACCCTTTGTCTGTGCTGCTCCTCTTCAGCCTGCCTTATGTTCATTTCCTTTTCAGGATCCTAATGTTAAGATTTCATTTTTGTGCACCAATAGAACATAGCTCAGATTAGACAGAACTCTTAACGCGGCAAAAGAACTGAGACTGATAAGAATTTCACACATTACCTTTGTTTCTCCCCACGTTTCATCTCCAAAGTCTTCTGCATAGTCCTCATCATCTGTTATCAAGAAATTGTCAAAAATTGTGCCAGCTCTCACCTTAGAGGGAGGAAAAATAACAACAGGATGCCTCTTTATTTTTCTTTACAGTTCTACTCTGTCTTTCAATGTCTTTGTATCGCATTCAGTAGGCAGTGAACACGTTAAGAACTCCACAAGCTTTTACAGAATTTGACAAAGAAACATCTATGTTTGGAAAGCTACTTTCAACATTCAAAACAACGTGTTTTAACTTTCTTTACTGCTCTTAGGAGTGCCAAGTCTGATTGCTGGCTGGGCAGGAAAGCTGAGGAATTTCTCAGAGCGGCCTCCAGAGGGCACATTTCGTCCCATTAATCTCAGCGACTCAGGAGTACCTGAGCTGCTGGAAGCCTCAAGTCAGGGGGAGCAAATTACAGTTTGCAACTCTTACACTGACGAGTTTGGACTTCTCCCTCACTTATCTGTAGAGGGTTATGAACCAACACATCTTAGAAACTTTGTCATCTTGTACATACATTTAAATAAAAGCAAGTAAAAAACACAGGTCATCTCCAGAGATCCCAAAAAAGCAGCATCTCAGAATTGTAGGGGCTGGAAGGACCTCCAGAGATCATCTAGTCCAATCCTCTGCATAGCAGCCTCTGTGGACCAGGTTGTGCAGGTCAACAGATAACACTTATATTAAAGCAAATTGCCAAATGCCACATTTACGAGATATGGTTTAGTGCTTGTGGTACTAATAGGAATGGGAGGGTGGTTGGACTAGATGATCTTGCAGGTCGTTTCCAACCTTGTGATTCTGTGATGCCCAGTGAAAACTAAGTCCTTTGTTCCCCTATAAAAGCAACTCACCTGCCAGATATCCAGTCCGATGGCGCCAATGTTTTCATAGCTGTAGATATTGCAGTCAGGTGAGTAATGCGGATTGTCGATCTGTGGATGGGGCCAAACGCCTCTATAGTCTGGGTTATCAATCTGCCTTGGCTTCCACTCTCCCTAGAACAAACCATGTATTCAGAATGCAGTTGGACAAAGAAGAGTTGAAGTGCCACAGCCAGCTAGAACTACAAGGTTATCTGTACTTTGTATAGAGGATTCTTGACCATAGGATAACTCCACTCTCCATGCACAGCATGATCCCAGTCTTCTGGTTTCTCATCACTAGTATCCATAATGTACTCAGGTTCATCCCAATCCTTTGAAGACACAGAAAGACTAACAAAATCAAAAACATGGGTAGTTCAATCCATAAAATGAATTCAGCGGGAATGAAATAATTCAATAATGCAAAATAACTACAGATTCAAACTGCTGAGTTACCTCAGGTTTGATGTCATTTGGATCATCGATGTGGGCTCGATCATCCCAATCACTGGGTTTCTTCACTGCTGGATCATTAATTTTCCTTGGTGGCAAGAAATCCAAATCATCCTCTAAGTTGCCCAAAGCAGCCACTTCGTTATCAATTTTTACTTCATAAGTCTGGTCTGGCCTTATGATTAAAGTATACAGATGTGTATATCCATCAACCTGGGTTTTAAAGAAGGCAAATAAGATACTTTAAAAGCCTTAAGCACAGCTTATAGAAACTGCCTTGCATCAGAGTCACAATATATGCCTGCAATAGTGGGGTTTTTTCCTTCTTATATAGCCCTCTGACTGGTGATCCTAGAGTTTGATGGGAACTCGAGGTTTACTTTTGAAACCCGTGTTTACCTTACATCTGATTGGTTTCTTGACTGGATGAAGTTTATTCTTGTAATTTAAAATAACATGGACTTTCTTTGTCTCAGATCCACAAATATCTGGCCCTACAAAGAGATCATACGTTTTGTATCCTTAATTTCATTGCAGAAAAATGCAGGTTGCTATCTATGGCATAGATTGAAGGATTATGTAAAAATTATGTAATCACACCAGATACCTAAGGACAAACCTTGAGATACAAGAAAAGAATTTCACTAAGTTGCATACAAATACCCTTAAGGGCAGACAACAACCTCTGCTACATTGTTTCAGGTAAAGGCCTGAAATATATGAACGCCCTTCAAGTCAGCTGAGAATTTAATGCATACTTTCAGAAATTTCAGGTATAGAACAGATAACTGCTTACAGCCACAACATTCCCATTAAAACAACTTTTTCCTGAATGTTCTTGTCATTTCCACAAATATCCTTCAGTAGCTGCACAACAGCAGTGGCAATGCTGTGCCAATGGAGAAGCAGTTACAGACTCACCAAACATGATGTAGTAAGGGGAAGCTCCACTCAGGTTCTTCTGATCCAAGTCCGAGGAAAAAATCTTTACATATCCCCCACCACAATCTATCTTCTGCTCATGTTTCACAGTATACTGAATGACCAGAGTCTTCCCTTTGTTACTAAACGGTTTAAATCGTGAGGAGATTGCATAAAACTTGGAGTTTTCACTTGTTTGTAGACCTATAAAAGTATTAAGATAATATTCAAACTTACATTTCCCTCAATTTTCTTAGAAAAAAGGCCTTTTCCCCTCCCCACACACGGTGGCTCTACGCAGGCTATCCTGAGAGGGCCCCACACTGCCTCCCCGTGCCCCCACATACCTCTGTCTCTCACAGGATCCCCGTAGAACTTCCCAGCAGAGAGCTGAAATGTGCCAAGGTCTGGCCTGGACTTAGAGCTCACCCAGCGCTTCTGCCAACCACCTGCTGGGCCGGGACCGAGAGACAGAAGGAGCGTTATAGGGCAGGGCAGGGCAGGGCAGGGCAGGGCAGGGCAGGGCAGGGCAGGGCAGGGC